CTAAGGAATTGACGACGTTGTTTACAAAGGTTTGGGAACTGGAGAGTGTACCAACGTCATGGAATGAGTCGATAGTTGGCCCTATCTTTAAAAAGGGTTCACGTCGTTCCTGTAACAACTATCGGGGGATAAGTCTACTTCCGATTGCGTCCTAGCTATTGACTTCCATCATACTTCGTAGGTTGTTCAAAACCCGAGAAAGATTGACTCGCGAGGAGCAGGCTGGGTTTTGTTCTGGTCGAGGATGTATTGATCATATCTTCACCCTCCGTCAAATGTTAGAACATCGCCATACTTATCAAAGGCCAACAATCGTAGTGTTTCTTGACATCAGGGCTGCCTTCGATTCGTTGGACAGGGCTGTTCTCTGGGATTGTCTATTGAAGAAGGATGTGCCTGAGAAGTTTATTAACATCCTAAAAGCCCTATATACAAACACCTCAGGCAGAGTGAGGGCATACAACCACCTTTCTCCATTGTTCCATTCGAGCAGTGGGGTTAGGCAGGGTTGCCCAATCTCACCATTCCTCTTCAACTTTGCCATCGATGACATTCTAGAAACAGCTCTGATGAATGTAAGTAATGGTGGTGTGGATCTGTTGCCTGGAGAAAGACTTCTCGACCTTGAGTATGCGGACGATATTGTATTACTGTGCGATAATGCCCAAGGCATGCAATCCTCACTTAATCAGTTGGCAATCAGTGTCCGTAGGTATGGTATGTGCTTTGCACCTTCGAAGTGCAAAGTACTTCAACAAGACTGGCAGGATTCCAATCCTGTACTCACCCTGGATGGTGAGCAGATAGACGTAGTCGAGAAGTTCGTGTATCTGGGTAACTGCATAAGTGCTGGTAGGGGTGTGAGTGATGAAATAAATGCACGAACAGTGAAAGCCAGAGCGGCTTATGCCAATCTGGGCCACCTTTGGCGCCTTCGTGATGTTAGTCTGGCTGTAAAAGGCCGGATCTACAACGCGACGGTGAGAGCAGTTTTGCTCTATGCTTGTGAAACCTGGTCTCTCCGAGTTGAGGACGTTAGACGACTCTCTGTGTTCGATCATCGCTGTCTCCGAAGGATTGCTGACATTCAGTGGAAACACCATGTTAGTAATGCAGAGGTTCGGCATCGTGTGTTCGGGCACAGAGATGGTAATTCAATTGGTGTCACCGTCTTGAAACACCGACTTCGGTGGCTTGGACATGTTCTACGAATGTCGTCCCAGAGAATTCCACGTCGTGCATTATTTGCCGACTCTGGGACTGGTTGGAAGAAGCGGAGAGGTGGTCAGTGCATGACATGGTGTCGTGGCATGAAAGAAAGCTGCAAAGGACTGGCTTGTGTTGGTCCTTCACGACTCTCTGGTTGGGGTCCGAGAGATGGTGCTACACAGTGGCTAGAGACGTTATCAGATATGGCTCAGAATAGACGCCAGTGGCGATCCTGCTGTAACCTTCTTTTACTTTCTTCATAAAAAGTGGTTATGTCTCCCTTACTTGAAAAATTTCTTCTGATTGTACCTCATTACTACCATACTGCCTTACACCAATCTCTTCGTTATTGTTCTCTTTTTCCTTTGCGCTCCTTAGTTTTTTTTCTATTTTTTTTCTATTTCTCTTAGCATTCTCATTGTTTTGTGTGGCGCATATATATTGGCGCTCTCTTGTATCAATATTTATGTGTTCAAATAAATAAATAAATAGTATGTATCATCCACCAATCAAAAGTAAAATGCATGGAAGCAGAAGGTTAAGAAGATCGTAGGGAAGAGAGAATGATTACTGTGGAAACGAAGGAATAGCAAAGTCTGAGACGAATGATTGACATTTTGCAAACGAAGTATTTACGAAGATATTTTGTAATTTTGTATTCAAATGCATTTGGTTGTTCCCACTTGTATGTTCTCATTCAATACACTACTACTTATCACTTGTATCTACAAGATATATTTTTTAGTCATATGTAGAAAATAATAGGCAGTGTAACTATGTTGAGATAAGATGATGCTTTAAGGTAGTCAACATGGAAATCTGGATCTATGTTTCGTGCTACTTGGCACTCGTTAGCAAAATGTATCTGTAATCTTGAAGGAACTGATGGTCCTTGATGGATTCGATCCTATGTCATCCAGCTTCATAGAGATGTTATCACTGGGTTATCCCGACCACAACTGATCTCTTGTAACATTGTGATGTATTTATAACTGATTGATCACTAGATGGTGATCAATATAATATGTGTCAGGTCCTTCTTAATGCAGATCAAATCCTATCAGAATCAATACGATCGGTTAAGGTTTCGTCTGACTAATGCTTAGTTTCATCAGTAAGTACAATCTTACAGCAGTTTCAATCATTTAAAAAGTTCAGTGTATACTAAAACAAACAACTGTTTAATGTATGATTTCTAATTTTCCTAACGTTTCAATATTTATAAGTTCTTAATTGGAATAAACTTTTATCGTAGATTTACAATAGAATTGTTTATTTATCAAGATATAAAACTTACGCCTGTTACCCTTCATGGAAGAGCATAGACCACTCACCAGCATTCTCCATGCAATTATGATGATTTACAAAACAGTTTGATAAAACGATTTTATTTATTTAAACACATAAACATTGGTACAAGGAGGCACCAAATCATTCGATTTATGTGAGGGCTGGGATACTGACCAACTGTCCAAATCGAAAAAGGTGGTTTTGTTAGTCGGTCATATCCTGAGCCTTTGACCTGAAGGTCTAATCCATAAGGCAATGGAGCAACGTCAGGAGATGCAGTCCCATGATAGCCAGTGACCAACAATAGGTTCATACACCATTTGTCCCCTCGGTGTCCTGGAGTCCATGTGCACCATTAGTTTGTAATGAGGGTTTTCCAACTGTTCTAGGTGGACTGTCCGTGTCACTCAACCCGGGTAAAGTGTCGGACATTCGCTTTTCGTCCTCTCAATTTCGTAAACAACAGTTATGTCACGAGAAGGCAACGCGTAAGACTTTCCTGTCAGTTGTTGTATGCGTGTGGCCATGTGAGTGCATTTGGAGAGGGAGAGTTGACTCTCCCCACTTTCAGTCACACCAGGGAATTTGGAGGCAAAAATGACTAGAAAATAACTCTATGAATTATTGTAGTATTTCATAATTGAGTCATTCAAGTTCTCTGTCTATAGAAAAATTCATCAGTTACTTCTACATTATGATTAATATGTATAGAGGATTGAATTACATTGTTTATAAGGTGTATATACAATCTTAGAGAGATTAATTTTTCCCGTGTTTTGAATCCATATTACAGCGATGCCTCTCTTAGAAACGATATCACTTTCGCATTTGATCTACTAATAAAATGTTTTTGGGAATGATATTACCTACATTAATCAAGTTTAGTTTGTTCGGTAACTTTCTTTATTCTATTATTGCTGACTTAAAACTTACTCCCATTGGAGCATAGGCCGCCGATTAGCATTCACCAGCCCATTCTGTCATGGGCTTTCCATTCTAGTTCTATCCAATTGTTGTTCATTCTTCTCATGTCTGTTTCTATTTTTTGGCGTAATGTATTCTATGGTCTTTCTCTACTCCTTTGACCCTGATGATTCAAATCCCATTGAATACAATGTTGCTAATGCTGGATTCCACTAATGTACATTTATTTGTAGTAATGATCATTAAATGAGTATCATGATCTTAAAACTTTTGTAAGCCATATATGTTGTCAAGTATAAACCAATTGTTTGTATTCCTAACTATTACATTTTGTGATCGTATTTTGACGATCTATATGATTGAAATCGATCACTTATCTATTGAGAATACAAATTTAGTCAGTATTGTTATAAACTGGACGAGAATTAAGGATAATAACTGTTGGGATTCATTTATGGACCATTACTATACATATATTTTGATTGTATAATTGTTAAATAACTAAACTATTCATATTCATGTTCCTCTAATTATAAGCTTCATTATGACTTATAAACTATTATTATACGATTTACCGTTGCTGAGTTCTGCCTAGTCTATGAATGACAGTCTCCCTTATTTACAGTCACATTCGGTTAAATCTTGTACAGATGTTTGTTTACTAATTCATGATGTGGTGTAATCTGTTTGGTTTGTATATAAACCGAGTATCACTGAGGCTGAGACTGGTGTTCTAGACTCAACAGGCAGACAGAACTAGAAAGGAAGAAGGACCGATAAGGACTCTAGACTGTTCGTACGGCTGTATACATTATTGGTTTGGTCGATAAGCCGCTGTTCAATATCATTAGGCGGTATATTGATAGGCTCGAAGTCCGACTTAGGAAGGAGGGTTGAGCTGAAAAGCACAAAACGCCAACCGGATTAAACAAGTAAGAACTTAAGATTCGTGCTGCTGTTTATTTATCGATCGGATATGTGTACTTGTAATCTTCAAACGAGCCAATTTTTTTGAAATGTCACTGAGCCCTTGCCAAATCATCCGGCATTTGGGTCACTGAATATTGAGTCGATCGCTGTCAAGGTCAAGGATAACCAACGCACACCAGTTAATCGTACGCCATGTACTGACACATGCGACCGTGGTCTTACCTTCGCTTGTATCTACTTTAACTAATATATTTATGTAATAACGTCCTTTGTATTGTACAGTCTTCAAAGTATCTATACTACCTTGATACGTCAATGGGGTAATCCAAATAAAGTGCTGACAACGTGGTGTGACTTCGATGTTAGCTGGTTCGTCAAACCATTCCCGTCTAACTCGATTAAGTCTCCAATCGTTCTACATAGATCATCTACCCTGGTAACCTACACTGGTGAGCCCGACCATTATTCACATTCTGGATCATTTATTAGTTTCAATCAGAAATTTTAAGGAGTTCCTTATTCCTTTCCAAATACACAAAGAACTCTGAATTCAAACTGAACTGCCCAGTTTTGATATTTTTATTTATTTATTCATTATCAGTAATACAAATGTTTTTAATGCCATAGCAACTAATATTACCTTTATATTATCCATAACGTTGTGGTCTCCAACCTCTTAATTTAAATATTTCATTATTTAATAATCGATCAATTACAATATCATGATCATTATTTATTTTACGTTTACCTTTAAGTAATTTAAATAAATCAGTTTGTAATGATAAAAATTGACGATTTTGATGATGACGTCGACGACGACGACGATGGTGATGATGATGATGTGAATATTTCCGTTTATTCATATAAGATTTATAATATCCTCTATAAGGATTCCTTGAATCAATTCCATTTATCCAATAGAATGTATGTAAATTTTGAAAAATAGAATTAGTCTTCTTTGATTTCAGTAATGATGATGATGATGATGATGATGATGGTGGTGGTGGTGGTGGGGATAGTGATGTTGGATATTCATTATCCATATAGAATGGATCATCATATCCATATATAAAGATAATCATAGTAACTGTATATAACCAAATGTATAATAAATTTTGTTTAAACATAATCATATTTAATCTTTCAGTGAATTAAATGAAAACTCATTTTTACTTAACGCTTATTAATACTTTGGGAAGAGGGTAGGTGGGTGTTTGGTTACTTGGTTGGTTGGGGGGGGTGGTGGAGGAAAGAGCGGTATTCATTTTGTTCCATTCTAATAATACTCTCACTAATATAGATATTGGGAAGAGTGGGGAGGGGGAGAGGTATTAATCTTTTTTCCCCATTCTATTACCGGTTCCTATAACCACCCACATATATTATAAATGAGTACTTTTTGTAAATATAATCCATTATTATTTATTAAATAACCTCAATGATGTGTGTTACTTGTTCAATTTAATTGAAGTCAGTTATTTTGTTTGTTTGTTTTTTCGTTCTTCTTTTAATTGGTTCATTCATTTACAATTTGATCTCTCTCTCTCTCTCTGAAACAAATTAGGCCAGAAACTAGAGTTAGCGACTAATTTTCACTAAGGGTATCATTATAGTATCATTATTATTACTACCACTATTATTATTGATGTCACTGATAAGTCTTGCTAATTGAACATTATATTCGGTTCCTAAACCCCTAAGCTAGAACTACCCAGCCACCTGAACACGAAAGAAAAGGCTCAAGATATACGAGAAGCACTTTACTCCAAAGGTTCGTTTGAATACAGAAAATATAGAGTTTTTATAGTATTTTAGATATCCTCGGGTTTCTCGAAGATTCTAGAATGCTACTAAACATAGTAGTAGTATAGGTAATCATCCAATTAGAAAATCTACATGTGACTTTTCACTTTCTTGATGTTTCTGACTAAAACTTTAAATGCCCCCAAATGCCCTGGTGTGACTGAAAGTGGAGAGAGTCAAATCTCCCTCTCCAAATGCTCTCACATGACCACATGCATACAACTACTGACAGGGAAGTCCTACTCACTGCCTTCTCGTGACGAGGGTGTTCTTTACGGAATAGAGACAACGAAAAGCGAATGTCCGGTGCTTTAACAGGATTGACTTACACGGACAGTCCACCTAGAACAGTTGGAAAACCCTCATTACAAATTAATGGTGCACATGGACTCCAGGACACCGAGGGGACAAATGGTGTATGAACCTATTGTTGGTCACTGGCTATCATGGGACTGCATCTCCTGACGTTGCTCCATTGCCTTATGGATTAGACCTTCAGGTCAAAGTCTCGGGATGTGACCCACTAACAAAATCACCTTTTTTAGTTTGGACACTCGTTTAGTATCCCAGCCTTCACACAAATCGAATGATTTATGTGGCGCATATCTATTTGGTGCCTTCTTGCACTTATGTTTATGTGTTTAAGTAAGAATAAAGATTACTTTTACTATTATTATCATTAATAATACTACCATTACTACGATTATTATTGCTGGTAATATCACTACTACCATTACTCTTATTGCCATTATTATGATTACCATTATTATTATTACTATTATTATTGTTGTTAGTAATATTAATACTATTATTATCATTATTATTACTGCTACCCCTACTATTACTGTTGTTATTACTATTGGTATCATTACTATTACTATTACTACCATTACCACTATCATTATTAGCACTATTATTACTATCATCATTATTACCAAGTGTGGTCACCAAGTAATAAAAAATACCGTTGAGTGCCTGTTATAATTGATCGAACCAAAGACGCACAAACACGTAGAACGGCCTAGGGTTCTGAATGGTCCGGCTTCCCTGTCTAACCCGGCCAGTTAAATCCAGAACACCAATGCCAGCCTCTGCTATATGAATCACTATATTTCAAACATACTTTGTTTATATACCAGTCAAGCAGACCACAACGTACCATAAAATAGAAAATAACATTGTACAATAATGGCCAGTAGGAAAATGGCACGTTAAACAAATATTGACCAATAAGATGATACCATTTCATGTCCAAGGAATAGCATTAGGCTTAACAGGATAATTTTTGGGATATTTTCCTGAATATCCCAACAGTGACCATGATTTAATCCAGTATAAAATAATGATTATTACCCCTACTACTATTATTACTGTTACAATTACTATCATTACCATTACTATTACCATTATTACACTCACTGCCATTATTATTATTACTATTATTGTCATTACTATTGCATGATAACTATTACTACCATTATATGTGAAAATTATATTTAAAAAATATTCTCAGCGATTGAAATTTAACTAATTCCAACGTTTCGTCCAGCTAACTTGTCTGGACTTCTTCAGGGTAATAATCAAAATCAAAATTATCAGACATATATAGCTTTTTAACAATAAGGATTATACTGTGTTAAACCAATCAGTTAATTATTTCTATGTAGTTGAATTCTTCACATGATTTGTAGTCAACTAACTCATTTGATCCTATTTTACAAAAAATCAACATTCAAATATGATTGGTTTAACACAGTATAATCCTGATTGTTAAAAGCTATTTATTACCCTGAAGAAGTCCAGACAAGTTAGCTGGACGAAACGTTGGAATTAGTTAAATTTCAATCGCTGAGAATATTTTTTAAATATAATTTTCACATATAATAACTTCTCTATACTCGGCGCTCAATTACTGTCAAACTATTCGTTCTAATCTTGACGAATATTCGTATATATTACTACCATTATTACCATCACTATTAGTACTATTACTGCCATTACTATTAGTATTAATATCATTACTATTACACTATTACTATTGCCACCATTACTATTACTATTATTATTATTATTCCTAAATGTGGTTATCAAATAATAAAAACGTACCGTTCGAGTGACCTTGATTGTATTTAGAATAAAATAATGATTGGGATGAGATAAATAATGAACGCTGACCTTGAATATTCAATTGTTCAATGTATTATCATTATCAATAATTTTGATGATGGGGATTTTTTTTAAAAGGGATGACATAATTCACATTGTATTATTATTATTATTAGGTCGAACATTAGCATAGACATAGAGAGCAAGCGAGCGAGCGAGAGAGAATTAGGTCTGTTATCCATTAGATGAGAATTATTATTATTATTTATCATAGGTAGTTCATAGGAAATTGTCAAGTTTGGGAATGAGATAAAGAGTTCTTTTTTTGGGGGGGGATATTAGTTGAAAAGAACGTTTTTTGAAAAACTAGAAACTATTGAATTAGTAATTGTTTAATGTATAATTTGAATTCTCTTTCTTTTTTCTTCTTATCAGATCGGAACATATTAGTGTTATGAACGGGGAATTAAGAAGCCCAGACAATTACGAAAGCTATTTTCTTGGGACGTTATTACATTTCATTCAAAACCTGTAAAACACTTATATTTATTTTTGTCCCTATCTTATTCTACATAACACGAGCTTTCGTTCAATGTATCATTCACTAGCATACCCTTTTTTGTTCCAAAAATATTGTAATTTAAACATTATATTTTGCACTATATTTTCTACCCTAATTCCCTGTTTCGGGCACAACTGTATTTTTCCAAATTATCGTACGTCGTGGTCAAGATATGCACTTATTTATTCATGTACATTTTTGTAGTAATCTGAATTCAGAGAATCCAGAGTTTAGTGTTCCAACTGTCTTGTCTTCTTTCACTCGCGTGCTTGCCAACCAATCAGGATTTAGAATAGTTCTCTCTACCCCAATCGAACTCACGCGTATTAAACTCAAGGTTAAGCCACTCAGCCTAGCGCGTCAAAGTCAAGTCATAACAAGTATCACGGGGTAAAAGCCATCCAAGGTCATAACAATTAGAGAATATGGTACATGAGTAGAAAAGTCCAAGATGAATAAAATATTCGTAACATACAAGTTTTTACACTGTGTTATCAATTGTTGCAAGTTGTCACTTGAAGTAATGGGTTTCACTCCTTTAATTGACTCATTCAAGAGAAAACTAGACACTCATAGGAACATGCTAGAAAAGAAATAACATAGGCTGTAGGTAAGTTTTCTGTTCTTACTACACATATCTGAATCTGGATGTGTAAATGAAAAACACGAAATCAAATGCGGAATTTTTTAAATGATAAAATAGGGTTTTTTTTATGAATGAGGTGATATTGAGTGTTGTTTAGAGGTTTGGAGGAGTTACTACTTAATCGTAGTTCAGATGGTGGTAGGATACACGTTTTCAAAATACTTGAAAAGAAACTGTATTAGAGCTGGTCATTATGATGAAGTAAGGTGATTAGAAACTCCGCCTGTAGCTCTTCTCGAGTTACTGCCGATCCCAAGCCCGGGTAAAACAGAAGGGTTGGGCATGGGGTTAGCGACCCTATCCCGCAGAAAAGTAACTTGCTGAAAAAAAACGCTAAGCAGAAAAAATAATTCAAACAATTTAAACTCTGCCCTGGGAGTTAGAAGGTCTTCATTTAGAAGAAATATGACGCATCATGGTGAAAGCCGAGTTCCTTCGGAAGCTACGAGGCGGACGCCGCTCTTAATAACCAGAGCAAAAATGTTCATAGGCACATGGAACGTCCGGACAATGTGGGAAACCGGGATGACCAGCCAACTAACAACGAAATGAGGAGATACAACTTGGCAGTACTGGGAATTGGTGAAACCCATTCCTCCAATGAACATTTACTCTCTTGGTATTTTAAAAATCATCTTATCATTTACATTCCGCAAGGATCTGTCCCATGGATTTTCATTGCCTTATTACAATAGCTGGTGAATGTGACTTGAAAATATTGTTCACATAAATGAAATCCAGTCTGGTTTGGCATTTTACACCTTAAAATGAAACATATTCCAGTGTGAGATTCTGGAGATTGTTACGTATTTCACTGAGATCGTAATCTGATTGCTTTCAGACAACCATTGAAAACCTTTAAACTTCAGACGGCCCTTTCGTCTTAGTATTGGTTTCCTCAACAGTCTGCATCGTCGATCTCGCTCACAAGATTCCAACTCAAAACCTTCGGTCACACAAGCGAACGTTTCACAACTAGACCAGTGAGCCGACATCCAAGTGTTAGTGTCCAGCTTCAATCGATTCACGAAATTGTGAGACCATCTTCCATTATCTGTGGTTAGTAAATGCCTCACTCCAATAGGTTCGAATCTCACTAGCCGGATCGTGAATGTACATTATTGAAGAGGACGCCACTAGGTCGAAACAGCTGTCCAATGCTCCCAGGATTTAAATGGTGGTCTAACATCAGTCGATTATTGATGTCAATGAATATCATAATAATCTCCACAACTCCATACTAGAAAATGTCTCCTTATTTTAATATATATTCAATAGAGATTGTTTGTTTGTTCAACCAACACTTAAAAAGGTATTCGTTATCAGGTTTAATCTAACTGTTTCACTTCATTTATTTTATAGATAACAATATTTATCAGTCAAATAACACTTGGCAAATTACAATTACGTATCTTTCGTACAGAATATACTTTGGCTGCATTATTATTATATAATATGTTTTCAACTACATATATAACCACTACTGGTATGATTTGTAACATAACCAGTACTTGTAATAGTTCAAATGCATCCATTTATCCATTCAACAATTTACCGGGTTATATAATTTGAATTTGAAAACTTATATATTACAAAACATAACCGGTTTTCATCGTTTGTTTATTTATATCAAACTTCAAAGCATCTAACCACCTTATGAGATGTTTTCTTGTTGAATAAAGTTACGAATTCTCTATGTTCATTTTGTTCAGTGAAAACATCAAGGAATCCCTTTCAAATATTTAGTGCTTTTTGTGAAATTTGAGAAAACTAAGCTGTGAAATGTTGTACTGTTTGTTTGAATCTTCTCATTGTTTTCTGGGACTGCAATTGATCAGTCTTTCTGTTATCAGCATATGTGCACTCTGTGAGGTTTATCTTGATATATCCTTACGTTACAAGCGTTTTGAGCGAAGATTGGAATCCAGTTTGATACGTGTTTTGCCCTGTTTGGAGCTCTTCAGATGAATGTACCTGAATCATAGAGTGGATGTTCACTTCGGCACTTAAACCCAGTACCGTTCACTTCAAACGCCATCTCGTTATCCACTTAAATACTGATTTATGATAGCCACATCATCTCTGAGATGCAAGTACATCCAATAGGCTGTCGACCCGCATTCTCCAACCAACTCTCTCCTCAGCCTTCCTTCCTATCTCTATCCAATTGTTATTCATTCTTCTCATGTCTGTCTCCATTTCTCGCTGTAATGTGTTCTTTGATCTCTTACTTCTCCTTTGGCCATGAGGATTCCAATTGAGGGTCTAAACCTTCATTGATTGATAAGAATTACGAAGATTATGATTACCTTTAAACAAACTACTCATTGTATCGGCTAATTGGGCAGTAGATAGATAGATAAACTAATTTATACTTTGTCTAAAACGGTGTCCATATAATAAACTGAATGTCTTCACAGAAGTCATATGAAGATTAACATTTATTTTAGTTAGCATAATGAATATGGACTGAGAACAAGAAATTATGTTGACTATTGTACTGCCTATGTCATACAAATGCATTTTACATGCTTCTATATCATTATGACTGTATTCATTTCATTCATATCAAGCTTCTTTTAAACTATCAATATTTTAATAGTTGAATTGATGAGTCGATTTAAGCTAGACCACCATTGAAAACCTGAAAGCAATGAACACTCATTTCGTTCTAATATGAGACTCCTCAACAGTACTCATACCCGATCCCACACGCAGAACTGGAATCGAGGATATTTGGTCTCGTATGCAAACACTTAACCTCTAGATCAATATTTTCTGTTCTTAAATACATACGTACATTACGAATCTCGAGCATTTTCACTGAACTGACACACAGTGTACATTAACTTCCTTTACACATGACTCATTTGTTATTTCTGAGTATAAAATAGAATCTTACACAACGAAATATTGAGAACTATTGTCATCAGGATCTTTTGATAACATGTTGTTGAGGATTCTAGATATCATTTGATAAACCCTCATTTCAAACCAATGGTACACATGGGCTCCAGGATCCTGAAAGAAAAAATAGCGTAGGAACAAATTGTTGATCACTGGCTACCATGGGATTGCATCTCCTGACGTTGCGTCACTGGCTTGTGGATCAAAACTTCAGGTCGAAGGCTCCGGGTGTTGCCTCCTAAGAAAACCATCTGCTTCGGTTTCGGCATTCGGGCAGTATCACAGCCCTCATACAAATCTAATGATTCATGTGGCGGATATCTAATTGGTGCCTCCCTTGTACCAATGTTTATGTGCTTAAATAAATAAATATTACTATCATCGACTTGATTATTATAGTTTCTCACACAGTAACATCATATATAAATATGTAAATTGAGAAGTGTAATATAATTTTAATAGAACTTTTCTTATTGTAATTAATATAAGGAAAAAAGAATATGAAAATGCACAATGTTCAGATATACATGATATTCATTTAAATGTGTCAACGTGATAAACTTTAGAAACAAACAGAAAACAAGAACATAGAAAATAAAGCAGTTGTTGTAACAGTCGATGAAGATGATTAGATTAATTAGTTAATTCAATTTAAAGCACATCATTTCCAGGATCATCTAAATCATTATATGATATCATTGTTCGTTCACCGGTCGTAGTACCGCCGCCACCACCAACTGGACGTCTAAAAGTTAAGAAAAAGCTAACTAAGTATAGTCTGTATAGTCTCGCCAATAAATACGAGAAGTGATGTTAACGAAAATTTATTTAACAAAAACTTGTGGAACACTATTCTTATTCCAATTACAATTATATCACTCTCATTTATGATAATATCCTAGTTCTACTTTCACTGAAAGTCTGTTGAATTAAACGGTGTCTTTCCTTTAGCTCACTGGTCATTGTTTTATACTTAATTATCTATGCACGATAATGTTGTATTTCGAAAGCAAAATGATCCAAAAAATTAATGAAGGTGACCTGGTTAAGAAACTGAATGCTCACAGGATAGGAACTTGAGAACGATCACTACCGACCATGTAGGTGTGATTAGTAGCTGAATAAACATTGAATACAACCATCACACGAAATCAAATCGATAGCCACAACAAGGCTGATATTTTATGTAATTATTCCTATAAATCTTAGTTCGCGTACTGGACGGACAGAGGGAATTTAATTTGAGATTTCGAGATGTTAGCATATGAAACTGATTACTAAACAGTTGGTCAGTTATGAGCAACACAGAAACTGAAATACGTGTGTGTTGGTCCCATTTCCTGTATCACGTTAACACAGAGACACAAAATTGTCGAGATAAATTTCCAGAGTAGTATAAGTAAAAACAGTGTCAACAGTAGTAGTAAAGACTAGGTATAGGAAAAGAAAGAAAAAGGTGTACGGAGATTTCGGGACATAATTTATAAGAGAAGTAAAAGAGTAAATGCACCGGTGCCATTGAGAACGATTTTGAGACATGCCACATAAGGTCTTCAACCATTAGTTACGACAATCACGCGGACCCTAACCATGTAGTTTACACTAATTTACACGGCTCAGTACAACTATCTATCAATTTAAGAACTGGTCCCACGTCTTACTTTGGCCGCTCATAGCTTTCTTCCAATCTACTCACCCCTAAGCCAGGCAACATCACCCGTCGATGTACGCGGTCGAGCACATACCCCAACTACGTGAGTTGATGAATAGTCACTACAACATTATCAACTGATTTGCCATATTTACCTAGCATTCTATCCCTAAACCCGGGATTATTCATTCAATTGTCCTAAAATGCACGACCGATGCTTCGAGGATATCTATAGTCAAGACTAATGAGATCCTAAGGTTAGATCCCGGACAACATGGTGTGGGCTGTATACTAGAGAAGAGCTCCACGGTAACAGGACCGACTGTTTTTTAATTGAGATTTCGTCCTCAATGAAAGCCTTCTACCAGTTTGAGATAATTCGCGAAACCTTCAATTTGACTAGACAGAGTACAGAATGAGGAAAGATCCCATTAAAAACAATGTTCACTTTTACAACTGCTTAGACAAGATTTATTGAACAAGTTCTACTATGATTGATTCGTTCAGAATCACAGATCAATTAAGAATAGCACAATATGCAAAAAAAATTTGGGGAACGTGATAAGTCCGGCAGAAAATACAAAGATAGAGAGATTCATACACAAAACTCATGATATACAATCAAATATTAACAAGATTTTATCGGAATCTACTATTTAGTGTCCTACCAACCTTGCATCACCTACCGTCTGATAAGTGTATCAAGGGTTTAATATATACAAACATAACAGTCATAACTGTAGCTTACCTATTTGTCGAATAATTTGTAGGCTGTCTCCGGCGATTATCCAATGTACTACTACTACTATATGGTCGATGATTGAAATCATGAGATGGTGAAGAACCACGTTGACCACGCGACCTAGACATTCCAAGACCTGTGCGAGGTGCACCTGCCTGTGCAGCCAATGCATACAAATCAGCTGCTGTCGCAGCGTTTGGATATAAAGCGGCAGCAGCTGCTGCTGCTACAGCCGCCATAGCTTGGTGTTGTTGTTGTTGAGCTGCCACATCATAATAGTCCTGGACAAAGGGAAAAATAGTTGAGTAATGGAATTTACAAAACAGTCCAAAAAACTTTACTTAATAAATGACCTGAAACTCACGGACGGGTTTAAGAAGTTTTTTTCGCCTTATTTGGAACTCATTGGGTGGATATACCTGCATCCTAGTGTTGATGTTCACAGATTGATACCATGACTCATTGCCCTTCACTATTAAATTACAAGGCGTTGTTAACTGAGCTACTACTAGGTGTAGATAGCCACAAATTTGTTCAATAAGTATGATGTTTATATCGTTATTAGTATTTGGGTTTGAATAATAATGAAATAATTCATAGTTATTAATGATGGCATAAACTTGAAAAGCAATTACAACGCTGGTACTGACATGAGTCATTTAGTTCGAGATGTACAACTTTTCTTAAACACTATAAAAATCAGTCAAAATGAATAGATAACAGTCGATTTTTTAGTTCATTATATCACCATTAAAACAATATTGAAATTCAAGATATACAATCGAGAAATTCAATTATGTTAAGTTTAGATGGCACAAAAAAGCACCCAGTAGTAGTAGTAGTAGTAGTAGTAGTAGTAGTAGTAGTAGTATAGTTAGCAATCATTATTAACTCAACCCAAGACTAAAAGGAACATAGTGTGGACAATCGTGCGAATACAACCAGATTTGTGCTGTAGAGTCTAACATCTTCAACTATTAATTATTACTATTCTATTGGCTCTTAATCCATCAGGAAAGTTTACATATAGCTTCATCTACCGATTTTCCGTTTTTCTCTAGTAGTACGTTACTACAATAAACAACCAGTAATTCGGAAAAACCTATGATCACATAATTCTGGTCTAAGCATGTCTTCTATAGAGTGTTTTTCAACCGTAGAGCAATACTTGAAGGATTGCTGGACGGAAAACTTGCGTTAATAGTTGGTAGACGGACAGTATAGTAGAAGCTTAAGTTATTACATTTCATGTTATAAATTTTCTCAAGTAGCTCATAAGACACCTTTTTATCTCTGAATCCACAGAAATGAATAGTAAACCAACAAAAATGTTCAAATTGACAGAATATACCAACAATATCGAAACGAAAATAAGTTATATGTATACAGCATACCTGAAAAGTTCCAGTACCCCGTACATAACTTGGTGCTGTTGAAAGAAGTGAATTATTCCTATATCCACGATAACTTCCACCCGTATTACCACGTCCAGAACCTCTACCTCTGTATGTATGATTATTACTATTTGAATTCGAACTTAAAGATGGATAATATTGATTTAACAAATGATAAGGAGCTTCTGGTAATGATGGACGTCTAGGATCTTTCAAATAGTTATTATAAAATATTGCGTTGTCTTTTTTAGCTGCTTCTACCTTGTCCATGTGTTTATTGAAAATATGTTTACGAACAAAAATTGGTTCACGGAATTTCTTGTCGGATAATGGACATACCCATACAACTTTAAATCTAAAATAAATAGTTTCGTTACATGTGTGATTAGTTACTAAACAAAAAAACATCAGTGTAAAACACTCATACTTCGACTATAATTATCCATTCAATTTAATTGTGTCATGCACGAACTCGTATGAAACGTCTGTGAACAGTTATTAACAAGAATCATTGGGAAAGGAGCTTGTAGGAAAATATAACGTGACATATACATAGAAGGATAAAATCTTGATGATCGAGGTAGTTAGACTGTCTCTTACAATTATATTTTTTTATAAAACCGTGTGACTCAAGAAGGTCAGTGAAGTCAGAAAATTCAAAATGCAAACCTCAGAGTAGTGCACTTGTTAATTATGAACATGTATAAACACATTAACAGATTATTGTTCAGTATTATCCATCGATATTCTTGTAACATTGAGACGCAGCAACCTAAATAACCTTAGCTTAATTCTGTATGTTGAAATCGAACAATTTAGTGTATACTACCACTACTGATATTACAAGCCCTTTGATGAAACAATTATACCTACACCAACAAGTTATGTTGCTTCAGGACTGGTCTGCGTCAACACCTGAACTAAGGATAGGGAGTGAAGTAGTCGAACGCGTTGACAACTTCACTTATCTTGGAAGTCTGATCAGCCCCAATGGGTTGGTATCGGACGAAATCTCAGCATGGATTCGAAAAGCTCGTTTGGCTTTTGCCAACTTGCGTCACCTATGGCGAAGGCGAGATATCCGTCTATCAATAAAAGGACGAGTATACTGCGCGGCAGTCCGTTCTGTTTTAATTAACGGCAGCGAAACATGGCCATTAAGAGTAGAAGACACTCGTAAGCTACTAGTATTTGACCACAGATGCCTTAGAAATATTGCTGGCGTCTGCTGGGATCACCGGGTAAGTAATAGTGAGGTTAGACGCAGGGTATTAGGGAATGATGGTAAATCAGTTGATGAGGTTATGAATCTTCATCGACTGAGATGGTTGGGCCACGTGTTGCGTATGCCTGAACACCGATTACCACGACGTGCAATGCTATCCGGTATTGGAAATGGTTGGAAGAAAGTTAGGGGGGCCAAACCAAAACGTGGCATCAGTGCTTGAAGTCACTAACTTCTAGTCTGAGCCATGTTGGTAGATGCGGACTACTTGGTTGGGGTCCGCGTGACTATGGTAACCAATGGTTGGAGACTCTTGGTGACATGGCTCAGAATCGATCACAATGGCGTCGGTGTATACACTCCCTGTCTTCCCTTAAACTAAGAGATTAAAATCACTTCATATCTTTCTTTCTACGAACCAATTCTTTCTTCTTGTACTATATCTCTATATGCAATCTTTCTCTTACATGCTATGAATCCGGTGTTCATCTTGTTGTGCTGATGCGGTATGGCAACCTGGACCGATGCACATATGTGCCTGGTCCTACGTTGTAGCTGACTGACTGAGTGTGATATAGATTAGATTAAAGCATCTTCCGTGCAGGATTATGTTGAGGCACGCTAATTGGGCTACTTCTTAACCAATCAGAATTTGCGGAGACTTGGAGAAGACTCTAGAATTTTATGTAAAAATTATAAATATACTAACGTTTTTCTTGTTGTGATTTTTACTTCCATCGACTTTTGTTATTGAAATATAATTACATTCCTGCTCAACTGTGTTCTGATATGAGAATTTGTCGAGTGAAGTAGTGTCCAAGAACATTAAGCAGGTTAATGAGTAGTTACACGAATCCCATATTAAATTTTTTAGTGGTGATCAAATCCTAATATTCGATTCTAATGTGTTAGTGGTAGTTAAAGTAAGCCATGATTAAGTGATGAGCGAAGATAAACATACCTAGCTACAGTCAATATAAAAGACCATTTTTTACGTAAAACTGATTTTATTGTGATTCAGTTCTGTTGACAACTGACACTTTGTCTCAAGATACTATTGCCCTGATCCATATCTAGTTCCCAATTATTGGTGTTCGGGTTCACGTGAACTAGTATAATGACGTATATAGTAATCATCTGATGCCAGTTTAGTCTTTGGTCCAATATCTAGTTACGATATTTAGTAGAGTTTACTGATCACGTTTCTACTACCCATCTCCCATTACAACAGATTCTGTCATAACTTCATTGTGAAACACAGAAATGTGAACTACTGCACAATCAAGTCATTCAGTCAGTAAATGAATACCATGAATACTCTTTAAGTTAGGTGATGTTTAACAGTAGTTCAACATTTCTATTTGTCTCTATCCATAAACATTCAAAACACTCATTTCTGATAACTTTTTTAAATAAAAATAATAAAAGAACTACACTTACGGTTTTTTCTTGCCAGTTCTTTTTTGAATATTAGCTTCAACGAATTCTTCTGCAGCTTTTTCAGGATCTCGCATACCTAACTTTTTCATTTCCTCTTCAGTTAAATCTTTTGGTACTTCGATAAGAGTACGCAATTTTAAAGCGAAATTCTAAAATGAAAATGTTGAAATCAAGAAAAAAAACCATATAGAAAAATACGTTAACATTATAAATAAATAATATATTTGTAATATCCCAATGAGTAGAAAATTAGACTTTCTGACGTTTCGTGACTTAGTGTAAGTCACTTCTTCAGTGAATAAATAACATCAGTTTACTAATTAAACGGATATAAAATTCATCAAAACAATCAACCAATCAAAAGAGATAAAAAAATCTATTACTGAAATGTAATTTATATGTAATAATCGACAATCTTAACTACATAAAGTGTGGATCGGTTAAGCGAGTCATCACAAAAACAACAAAAATAAGGGGGTTACTGAACAGTATTGTATAGACTCGATTTCCCATTATCGAATTAAGAACTCAAAAAAGAAAAAAACATAGTTTTCATGATAGTGATGTAGTGATGTAGTATTGTAGTGAACGAGAATGCAAATGGGGACAATCAAATGTATTTCAAAACAAAATTACAGAATCAATTAGTAAAATCTGAGAACCATACGGCAAACTCTTCATTTGAAAAATATCTAGCAATTGTCTCATACTTGACTGATTCTTGTTTTCCACATCAATCAATGTCTGTCCTTGTTCTTGTCTCTTCGATTTTCTTGACCTTCTGCCTCCAGGCATTTCATTTTCGATTGGTGAGACATTTTAATTGTATCTGTCGACATCAGTATCACACAACAAAGCACTAATGGTCCGTTTACAAAATATTTGACTCGAAGTTTATCACAAAAGACGGAACGAGTTCAAAACGTGAGACATATTAATTAAAGATTGAGTACTGTAACCAAATTCTAAGCCACTGCTATACTTGGAATAAGAACACCTTTAAATTTAGAGGAAAGAAGTAAAGTCAAACGTCCTTAGACATTACAATTGGTTAATATCACTGATGGAAATAATTTTTTTCGTTAACAGAATTCCCAGGAATTGATCTCTTTCCAGGAGATTCACTTATCGACTTGGAATACGCAGACTACATAGTCCCGTTTGGTGAAGACACTGATAAAATGCAGTCTTTTGGTAGCACTGAGCAACAACACCAGGATGTTTAGAATGCGTTTCTCTCCATCCAAACGTAAATTGTTGCTTCAAGACTGGCATCAGACCTTGAAGTCACTAAATTCTAATCTGAGCCATGTTGGTAGATGCGGACTACTTGGTTGGGGCCCACGTGACTATCGTAACCAATGGTTGAAGATTCTGGGTGACATGGGTCAGAATCCATTACAATGGCGTAGGCGTATAGACTCTTCGTCTTCCCTTAAACCGTGAGATTAAAATTACTTTATACCTTTCTTTCTACGAATTAACTGTTCCTATATTATATCATTATGTACAACCTTTATTTTATATATTACTACCATTGAAGTGACTACTTCTATGAATTTGGTGTTCATCTTGTTATGCTAATAAGACGTGGCAACTTGGACTGGTGTATACATGTGCTTGGTCCTACATTGCAACTGACTAACTAACTGATACCACTATATATGCACTAATGAAAACACAGCAGCATGTTAGAAAATTGCATTTACTTGTGCTATTAATTCAACTGGATCTTGTGGTCAACGATTTGGTTGAAATTTCTTATTATGACTGGTATTCTATACAAAGGATATACGATTTGTAATGACTAAACAACAAAAAACATTAATTCTTTAACGATGAAGTTAGTAAAATATGGACTAATGCTATTCAAACCTAGTTTTTCCCCCATCTCTCGTGAGTATTAGTAGTCTTATGGGGTTATGAGGTTCCTAATAGAGTACACAGCGCTGAAAGATAAAATCAAAAACTAAAGAGTATTCTCATGTTTTAAAAGAAAAAGTTGTAAATATTATTTATGATCAACAGTAATCTAATATGTGCAGTCAATCAATCAGTCAGGTGCAATGTAGAACTTAGCACACGTGTACATAGGTTCAATTCTCAGACCCAATTACTGCAGATAGCTGGAATTGTTAAGACATATCCCTGAATAGTAGAATTCGTAAGTATCAGTGGTAATATAAAAGACTAAGTATCAAAGATACGACTCTATAGGATATAAACTAGTGAAATAAAAAAATTGTGGAGAAATCAGCTTAGATATTTAGCCATTAACAAAGAATGAATGCATTTGGGTCAGTACAAGCGCTTTTAAGCCATGTCATTCAAGGTCTCTAATCACCGGTTATATTTATCGGTGCAACTAAAAATTAAACACGCTTCAACTGTTATTTGATGTAAAATGTCGTCGTTTATCTTTCTTATCATACCTGAAGGTGATCATTAATTTCTCTCTGAGTGAAAGCCAGACCACTAGAACGAGCACCAGGAACAGGATTTATTCCTCTGTCACCTCTTGCATGAAGAATTCCACATCGATGAGGCATGAGATCCTCCATGGGATAGATAGCTCCTGCATAGTAATCCATAGAATGGACAATACGTAAATAGAGTATTAACAGATCTAAAGTACGAGCCAAATTAGGGTCGGATTCCAATGTTACAGTGTGAACACGTCCAACTACAGTATTACTACTATTGTCACATCCTTCACCCTCTGCTTGAGTTTCCGCTGGATATTCCAAACGTTGGAGAAATTAAAATAATGAATATTGATAGGATAAATACAATTGAAACAATATTAAGGATTAGACAAAAACACTTAAATAAATTGGTTGTAAAAATACAAGGAATTAGTTCAGGTTAAGTGCATTTACATTGTCTTTATTCTCCTATTATTCAACTTATTGCCCCGTATTGCCTTACACTACTTGTTAATATTCAGTAGACAGTTCCATTCCTAATAACTTCTGAGCTCATGATGTAACGCACGTTTATTGGTCCTGTAATATCCTAAAGTATTTACATTAACTAATAACACTTACTGCATTTATCATTATAATTACATTCTCTCAACCCTTGTAGCCATTATCCATAATTTCTGTCCATCCCTTGAATGGTTTTACGAGCAAGTTTCCATAGTTGTGTTCCCAGTCCTTACGTTGATTGATAGTAATTGTTGTCGACTTTTGACACAATTACAGACCCAATGACGGTATTTTATATCTTTCTCTTTCCAGGCACACAGACGCACTAACCGCCACAGAGGCCTCATGAGTTGAGATTTGTAACCAATCTATGTATATTTCTTAATAACAGAACTATCCTTTAGACAAATCGTTGTTTGTTGGACTTCGACTTCACCCGAATCTCAGCTGTGTATAGTTGGACGCTTCGATAGAATTCACAATATGTTTGTTGCAGTAGAAAGCATAACAATCATTTGCAACTTTTTTTACTAGTGACCATTGGGAGATTTCATTCACGGGATGAAACAACATACAAATATGTACTCAGAGCTTAGAGCTACACTTAGGATGCGCGAGAGCTGATGGATACTACTAACCTGCTGGCCAAACCATTGTAAGCGATGAAGCAATGTTTCAAGCTGAGACCTGGCTTAAAGCCGAATTCGTTAACCACTAAGCTACATTGTTTTACAAAACATGGCCATATGAGACAAGTGTTTTTATCAAAACATCGTCATGATATGTACATTTTAAAATTACAATGTCGAAAGGCTGTTACAATGAAAAAGCTTCATAACAGGATATTGATGAGTCAAAATTTTTAATTGTGACAAAAATAGCACTTCCTAGAAAGCTTATGAAGGATACATCCATCGGCCTTACAATAATCATCAAAGTGAAAGGAAATAGCTTTTACAATGAATAATTGAGTACATTGATTGTCATGTAAGTGTCTAAAAGATATAAAAATCGTTAGTTGATAGTGAAGATAAAAGGCATGATTTATGAACAAGCATGCAGGACATATTAAACCATTCGTCCATAACTAAATTCTACATAAGAATGGACAACACAACACAATTAATAAGCAATAAATAAACCTTGTTCAACTGTTAAACTAACCTATAAGTGCTTCTTCTTCACTTCCACCTTCATCAACAAGATAGTCTGTCAGATTTTTAAGTAATGGATTTTTACTCTTAATAGCCATTTCCAGAGCTGTATAATCACAAATATTCTTGAATTCCGAATCACCATTGATTTTGAGCTTACCAATTGTATTCAAATCATTTGTACTATCAGGAATTTCCAAATGACTCCATAGATTATGTTTAGCATCTAAACGTGCGACAAGTTGCGCAGCCAAGAGTAAATCTTGTCGCATAACTGGTTTATGACGTGTGAGAGGAGTAAGAGGACGAACTCTCTGGGCTAAATCACGATTAACCGTAGCACCTAATTCTCCGTTTGGCAGTTCAAGTTTTTCGCGTAATAAAGTACTGGTATTTAACGCCCAACATATCTTTTTGATGTTAACAGAAGGATCATATGTGGCCCAAGCATGTCGCATAAATCGACGTTCAGGAACAGGTTCCCAAAGAGCCAATCTTATGAATCCAGGTTGAGAAGCGCAAAGCTGAAATAACAAACATAGTCACTAAAATATTGCTGTGTTGATTAACTGACAAAAATATTAATTATAATAATACACCTTACATAGAAAGATAACAAATTAGTATCAGAAAATACTTCTATAATGGTAAATCAAAACTAGTGAAATAGTGTGCCGTAAATTTGTCATTACCACCACAAACTACCTAGTGTTATTGAGGACATTAGATTCAACTAAGTAGGCAGTTAAACAAGTCTAGAATATTTGATGAGACTATAATTTATGGACGACCTTTGAGCGACGCCAAAGTGACCTTGAGTATCTACCTACTTACTAGGGCTAAATGACGGTTATAAATCAGTTTGAAGAATAAGGATTATGATTCACAGTCGATGGTTAGGGTTAGGAATTAGATTTACGGTTTGTTTTCACGAACTAACATTAGTTAAAATGCCAAGGCGCTATTTGGCCGAATGGGTGAATGTCGCGCCGAAATCCACGACCTGTTATCCTAAATCCGATTGACTCATCCATAAATTATAGTCTCGCCGAATATTTTACTTCAGTAACTGTGTTTAGAAATATAAATATCTAATTTCTTATTCCAGGATAGTGTGACAATTTACTATTCTTCCCGCATTATGATAAACATTTATTTTGGTTTGGTATGAGACGCATTTTTACACGAAATGAACTAGTTGAGCTGCTTGAAGTAAAGTGACGTTTGTCAAATCTGATACTAACCAGTAGGATTAAAGTTGATTAGTTGACAGGGCATAAGACACTTGTAAGTTAAGTCAGTCAAACGCAACGTAGAACCTGAAACATATGTACATCAGTTGAATTTGTTATATCCTATTAGTATAGCAAGATGAAATTATCAGGTCGAATTTCAGAGTAGCACATGTAGTGACAGTATGAATGATAACAGAAAAAGTTAGACACTGGAAAAACGATTCAATAAATTAATGTATGGTAAATACATCATGACAATTGATAAGGTAATTAGATGATTTTGTCAATTGTACAAAATCTCATCTCACGAGAAACCCATCTCACTGACAAAATTTTTGTGGAAGCGAATCAATTTCACCCGATAACTATACGGATAGCATGTCTAGACTCACAATATCATCCAAATAAGTTTAACGTTTTTCCGAAATATGAGAAACATGATTTATAAAGTAGAACAAACCTCTTTGAGTTCGCTTTCCATTATAGTTGGAGGTAACGCTCGGAAGAATATAGAGGCAGTTTTATGTAGCAGTCTTGGTGGATTTGCACACTTGGACTGAGGAGCGTTGGAAGGATCTCCCAAAATAGGATGTTTGACAGGTGTATCATTTACCGAGCCGATGATCATAGAAACAGAAGAGTCTTCATTTTTACATCCTCTTGGGGACTCGGCAGTTGTAGGGGTGGGTACATCGTCGTCATCTTCGTCAACTTCAGACCGTGCAACGTCATGAATATTACCGAGTTCATCTGTAAATTATAGAAAAATGTCATTTTCGCAATCATAACTAAATAATATTTAACAACTTGAAAAGACGACTACACATCAGAGTTTTATTAGGGACAGGCACAAACGATAGAGGTCTATTTGAGAACAATGACATCCAACATGCTGGTAAATCTAGTGTCAATTCAGCTAGGTTAACTCAATCACCAAGAACAAGATTTAGTACGGTAAATTGGGCTAACAGTTATTTGTGCTATGCTATACGTTGATTATGACTGACTGCTAAATACAGATTTATCAAACAAAAAGTAGAAAATAATCCTTATTAAACAATTAGTTTTTTTTTCATAAATTTTAATAAAAACAGTCGGAAGATGGAATTGAACTGGAAATGTGGTGTATTTGTGTTGTATATTTGAACCATATGAACTCATCAAAGTACTTTATATGAAAATCAATATAAGACCAACTAACTAAAATTCCAAATAAAGTGATTATTGTAAAAGGAAAGATAAAAATTTGGCATAATATGGAGAGAATAGTAAATTGTCGTTCCGGTAAACTTGGGAAGTAAAACAATATGTTCATCGGTAGCACGATATATAAAGGAAATAGGGCATAGAATTGACATCAAAACAGCTTTAAAAGGTTGTACAAAAATTGTCAGGGATGAATTTTCAGGTTTGCAGAAGCCTCGTCTATTCGCAAGTTCAAACCCCCTGTATGTGTACAGCTTGTTATATATATATTTCAACACATAAACATTGGTACAAAGTGACACCAAAACCTACATGCGCCACACAAAGTAGTTATCATTCGATTTGTGTGAACTATCAGAGTCCCTAAACAGAAACAGGTGGTTTTATTAGGGGACCACTACAGTTTGTACAATTTGTCGTAACAATGAACTTTGCCCTGATAATCTTTAAGCCACTATATGGTCTAGGCTAGTGCGACAATTTACTAGTCTTCCCACATTATGCCAAACTTTAATTTTGGTTTGGTATGAAAGACACATTTTTACACAAAATGAACTATTTGAGCTGCTTGCGGTAAAGTGAACAAGTGACGTTAGTTGAGTCTGTTGCTGACCGATACCAACCAATATTAACAAACCCCCTTATATTTACACAACTTGAAGTAAAACATCAAAGAAAATATTTGCTTGTTCAAAATGAAGCGAATTGGTCAAGTGATGAAAGCGTTTTTAAACGAGATCAAACTGCACAGGCGAATTGCACATATGTATCTAAATGAAACTGAGCTAATAGAGGAATTAGTCTGATTAACATGGTTTATAAGATTTATACCTCTATTACCACTAGACGGTTAACAGATCTAAAATAGTTTTCACGTTTGACTGGGTATGGACCAATTAGCAACACACCATTCGTTGAGGCTGAAACAGACATACGTAATAATCAGCATTTGCCCCAGACCATGTTTTTATTTATTTTAACACATAGACATTGGTACAAGGAGGCATCAAATAGATATGCGCCACATAAATCATTCGGTTTGTGTGAGGGCTGTGATACTGCTCGGGTGCCCAGACCGAAGCAGGTGGTTTTCTTAGGGGACCACACCCCGAGCCTTTGACCTAAAGGTCTAACCCACAAGGCAGTGGAGCATCGTGAGGAGATGCAGTCCCATGGTAGCCGGTGACCAACGATTGGTTCATACGCCATTTGTTCCTTCAGGATACTGGAGCCCATGTGCACCATTGATTTGGAATCCGGTTAAAGCGCCGGACATTCGCTTTTTGTCCTTTCAACTTCGTAAACAACAACACCCTGCCACAAGAAGGTAGTGAGTAGGACCTCCCTGGCAGAAGCTGTATACGCTTGGCCGTGTGAGAGCATTTCGAGAGGGAGGGCGGCCCCCCCCCATCGGCCATACCAGGGCATTTGGGGGCCACAGACTATGTTACTAATGTCTTTTTGACTTAGTTCAAATATTATCGTTACTATTATCAAGTTTCCCAGCTTAAGAAAGCAAATAACCAGAGTTAAACTCACTACACTTCTGCTCAACTTCAGCTTTAGGTTTGGAGCTTTCATCAGCTTCGTCATCGCTTGAAGAACCACTGTCACTATCGCTACTCCGGCTACTTTGTGAAGGAGCTGAGCTACCAGACTTGTTTGACTCAGTTCGTGCACGTCGGTTAGTTGTTCGACACTCCACAGTAGAACCTGGAGTGTGAAGAGGTTCTGGCATCACTTTTCTAGGAAGTTCTGTGTTAGGCTTCTCATGTTCGAAATCTTCATCAGATTCAGCCTCTCCTTCACTTTTATTTTCACAACAAATAGGTCCAGAAGACTAGAGACAATTGAGGGAAATTTAAAACAATTACTCACAGAATCATGAAACAAAACTTCATAGATTAAAGTTCGAAAACCACAAAATAGACTCGTTTCTCTAATTATCCAATGAAGTTTAACTTCTAAAAAATTCGAAGAATGGGTGTGGAAACTAAATACATGGAAATGATGAATCCCATGTAACTTAGCCACTGAAAGAACCATCAGACTTAAAATTTCATAATTTATAGAGAGATTTGGAGAATTCTGTCACAAAAGCTATGTGAAATGAAACACTATAGCCAACAAGTCCTAAATATAAATATATCGTGTGCATGCAGAACTAATCACAAACCAAAAGTTATGTCATGAAATTCATCAACATACTGCGCATGGCAGTCCAAAGCAACCTACCTGAGACTGATGTACTACTTCTTCGTCTGAATATCTATTACGATCAGATTCTTCAAGTACCTTTAGGTCTTCATCAGAACCACCTTCAAGTTTGATAACAACAGCATCCATGAGTTTTATGAGATTCTCACTATTGTCCATCTGAACAGACTGATTTTCGAGAAAGCCTTTATGTAAAAGCTCCATGAAAACATCTAGACGATGCTTGGCTGCTGCGCTGAGAGCGGCTTTTCTTTCATTCATGTAATCGGGATGATAACGAAAACGAAGCCTATACAACAATATAAGTGTATAAATTTGCGTCACTATTAAGATATTTCAGAGAATTTTAAAACTAAAACGGTAAACTTTATGTCTACTTAAGCTGGCTGCTAGATATGAACTAAATGAGGGAATATATTCAGTAGAAAAGACTGCTTTTGATAACTACAAACTATGATGACTAAATATTCAGACAATCATTGCTGAAAAAACAGATGGCCTAAACTTCTGATTCAAGAAAATATATAATGTAACCTTATTACCAGATGTGAATGCCTGTACTCGGTTTTAAGCTAAAACAGATACTTTGGAGATACCCTAAAGTCGAAAACCACCACTAACACATCATGAACGAAAACTTACCGACTCAGGTTCAAAATTGTTTTAGGTGCTTTAAACATGCCAAGTACGTAATCAAGTATATCAAGTTTGATATCGTATTAATTGAATCATCCAAAAGAGCTTCAAATCTTCAATCAGTTGCACTAGTCCGATCTATGATTTTGAACGCCAAAGATTGCTACTTCGACTTAATATCGTTTATGACACTAATTAGTTAGAGAACCAAGTCTACCATCAAGATGAGAAGCATCAATACACTTGTAGCTGGATTCGTCCGAAACTAATACCCCCGGAGTCGACTACCTTAAGGGAATTGTCTTGACACACTCAAGTACGAGACTTTAGATAGTTTTGAAAAGCAGTAACAGGTGTGTGAAATAATCCCACTGAACCATCAGTTATAAGAGCAACCATTCTAGTGGGTTTTATCGATGACCAATGTGGATATCTATTCATTAATGACCAATAAGTTTATCGAACTTTCTTTTCATATCTAACATTGGCATTAGCGAAAACAAGTTACATTTACGACAGCTAGTGATCACCAACATTTTTGTTGGGTCGGAACGCAGTGGGCCTCATCAACTCACTTCCTCAGCATGACTTAGCTATGACAGCAATACAAACACAATGGACTGCCACTTCAATTTAAAATAAACTAAAAGTCTGTTGACGTTATTTAGTAAGAGTGACACGGTTTAAAAGACGGATTAAACATAAACCACTGTATACTGACTTACCATTCCTCATTTTTGTGTGCATCAAAGAACTCTTCGGTATGACGCTTCATATATCCTTCCTTGTATTCTTTGTATTTACTACACGCCTCTTCTTCAGTTATCAAGTCGTCCAAAGGATCAAGAAACCGTTTAAATGGTATTACTGGAGGCCTGTACATGCCATCGTATTCCGAAACACTTGAACTTTTGGTATCCTTTCGTTGGTATGAACTTGGTTTATTATCATCACTGTTATCTTTACGAGGTCTTTTGTAAGGAGGTTCTGCAGGTGATCGTCCACGGTCATTCCGACCTTCACCTGACAAACGATTATCTTCACGAGCCGGTGCAACACCTACAGTGCCTGATCGGTCGTCGAATGGCTCTCGTTTATCACCAGGACGACGACGTCCATCGTGATCACTACGTTCACGGCGAAATTTATCACGGCTACGACGGCGATCGGATTCTTCATCGGAATCTGCCATGTAAAATCTGAAAGATAAAAGAAACTCATAAAAACTCTTCGAAACTTAATTCCCCTGTAACTACCAGCAAGTACAGTCCGATGTTCAGTAAATTAATCAAACGTATCGATAAGTTAACTCACCAAATAAGATGCAGGTGTAAACTGCAATAGCGCGATGCATGTTTATGATTATATGTGTGAACTAGTTAAAAACGACGTTGTTATGTATAAGAACTCGAAACTCGAGAGTAATAGAATCCTCTCCGACTGGAGACACTGTTAACATACCTTACGAGGGACAACCCTCTGGTTGTTTATCTGAATTTCATCAGCAGATTTAAACAAAACCCAGTCCGAAGTTGGAAGAGATAAATAGAACACTTTCCTCAGATAGTATCCCTGATATTGTGAAGACACTCGATTATCTGGCAAGGGAACTCAGCAATAGGTCGACTACCTCATTATAAACTACGACCAATATCTTGATTCAGTTTCAGTTTCAGTTTGGGAAGGGCAGGAGGCTTGATGGCCTGTGTTAGTCCTGGCAATGGTGATCTCTCAGTTGATCCAACTTCCTTTTGAAAGAGTTGACGGATGGAGCCCCAACCACGTACTGAGGTAATGAATCCCACTCGCTGGTGATTCGATGGGAAAGTCGATGGTCAGCTGACACGTAATTTGTTCTGGGCTTGTGAACTTTTTTGGAGTGTCCTAGTAAATTCTCTGTTTTAAAAGACAAGAAAAGTGAAGGCGTATCAGGTGCAAATTGAAAACTGTAATCAAGTCGCCTCTAGTTCTGCGATATGACAACGGGAAAAGGTTCAGCTTGGCCAGTCGAGTTTCATACGGAAGCTTCGCTATTCCGGGAATCAGCTTAGTTGCCGTTCTTTGAACCTTTTTCAGAAGTTCACTGTCTTTTTTTAGGCAGTGGCTGGCAGCTCTTATGAGGTACCCAAGTTCAGGACGTACGAACACTGTATACAAAGTCAAAAACGTCCTAGCGTCGACATGACTAGAAGCCCTATGTATTGACCATAAGGTCCTAAAACCTTTGGCGACTATTGCACGGCAGTGTGCAGTAGTCTTTAGGTCTTGGCTAACGATGACTCCTAAGCCATTATATGTCTGGACGACAGGTAGCTCACTGTTATTCATCGTGTATGCATCTGTACCTTGATGACCGATATGCATCACAACACACTTGGAAGTGTGGGGGAGTGTTGTAAGGCCAGCGAAATGTCACTAAGCCCTAGCCAAATCATACGGCAGTTGGGTCATTGAATATCGAGCAAATCATCGATCCTCGTCGAGGTCAGGGACAACCAACGCACATCAGTTAACCATATGCCATAGAATGGCCCATGCGGCAGTGGTCTTAATTTCGCTTGTATCTACTTTAACTAATATATTTATGTAATATCGTAATCTGTGTTGCACAGTCCCTAAAGCATCTATGGTACCTTGATACATCAATGGGGTAGTCCACGTAAGGTGCTGACCACGAGGTGTGACTTCGATGCTAGCTAGTTTGTCACACCATTCACGTCTAACTCGAGTAGGCCTCATATCATTTTCGACATAGATCATCTACGTTGGTAATCTACACTGGTGAGCCCGACGTGATCTGGTGTGGATGCATGACCGAGCGCCTTCAGCTAGGTGAGTCCATTAAAAAATGCGGTACGCATCCAATGTCGAAAACTTAGCTATTTCTTTTGGGGATTTATTTACCGACACAGAAGTATTTATTGGCAACTGCTAGGTTTGAGACCATTCAGATCATTTCTTCAGGTAATTTGGAGTTCCAAGCTATCACCCTCACATCGTATCGCTCTACAAATCTTGACATCGTCAGCATATAGCAAGACCGATGATGATAGGAGACGAGGAAGGTCATTTACATACAAGAGGAATAGCACTGGCCCCAAAATTGTACCCTGGGGCATGAGTCAGTTGAAGCTAGATCACCATGAAAAACCTGGAAGCACTAGACGGCCGTTTTATCCTGTCGTGGGGCTTCTCAGCATTGCGCATCCATGACATCACCCCCGGCGACATTCGAACCCAAGACCTAATGGTTTCGCGCTCTAGCACTTAACCACTAGACCACCGAGCCAATGGTTATATATATATATTGTTATGGATTAAAGGGAGGGCTGTGAGACCTCCTCACCGACAAAAACTACACGCCAGAGCGCACCTGATTAGGTTTCGTCGCGAGTTTCAACCCACCGAGGTGCAATGGTGAGCCTCCACCCTGGGTCAGGGCATTCCTGATCACCCTAAACCCGGAGACGCGTAACTATTAACTCTTAACCCCCAATCTTTTCTTACAGTCACGTCACAGAATGTCAAATCAAGGAATAAAAGAACTTAAGGGTTAATAAATGCGTTTGCTTTTTCGAGTATGAAGACTATTTTCCAGTAAAAAATGAACTCTTGTACTATATAAATTCTAGATGAATCTTCGTTTATTCGAACAAAACAGTGAAGATAAAGAGCGATCTTCTGAAAAGGATTTGACAGACTCCAGATGCTTGATTTTTTAGTATTTTACATCCGGAAGCATATAAGCCTATTATTGTAAGAGTTCTCTTAATCCGTTGTCCAGTATATTAACACAGTCTATATTCCCAGAATTTTCGTAGTCAGAAGGTGGTTTCAGGGTCTTAACCCAATAGGTTAATATTTTTAAGGGACGAAAACTCTATAATGATAGTGCATTTCGATAATATTATATTATCAGTAGGTAGGACAAGCCAAACAGCCTCGAATTCTAGGTTTACTGCCGGTCCCGAACACGAAGATGGGAACAGTGTTGGGTAAATGGTTAACCACCTCATCCCTTACAAAACAACCCTGCCAGGAATGAGCTAACCGTGAAACGTTATTTAAAGCGTTCGAGCTTTGCCCTGGGAGTTGAATTATCTTCATCTATAAGAATTATGACGCCCCATGGTGAAAGACTAGATTCTTCGGATGTCACGAGGCTAATCCCCATTCTATCAATCAAACCAATAACTAAAGTAGATAAACAGGATTTTCGGACAATGTGAGAGACTTGAGGAGCCATTTAAATAGCTACGTACATGGAGAGACATAACCTGGCAATGCTTGGAATAAGCATCCTACAAAGAAGAAGGACGGAATTACAGCTGATTTAGTCTTGTGTCATGACTCCCACATTGACCAAAGGAGAGAAGATAATGGTTAAATTTATGACTGAACTTGAATTATCCCAGGTGAGGGCTTGACTGTTCATAAGGGAGACCTGAAAGTCAAGGTTGTGACGAACAGCATTGTGTTGGCTTGGACTGGGAGAAAGGAACGAGGATTGTGAGAGATGTGCGAGTCTATATGCTCACAGGTGGTAAGAAATTCCCTTACAAGCACGCACACAGGGCTACGTGAGTTTCATCGGACCAAATTACAGGTAACCAGATTGATTACATCTGCAAAAACAAAAAGTTCGGAAGGTCTGTGGTGGTATTGATTGTTAAACACACGATCTTTGAAGATGAGTACATGATTAGTGAGAAGATTCAGACTTGGCTCTTAACACTTATGGAAGGTAAGAACTGGTGAACTCAGAGACTCGATCGATATGGTGTGGCTCAACCATGCGGGCGTGGTTACTGTATTTAACCTCTTGCTTTTTGTATCAAATACATTACTCGCTTCCCAGCCCGACTGTGTTCTTCTGAAGTGCTAGGTGTCAGATTGCTAACTGTTATGGTAAGACGAGTCGGTATAGACTATGATGTGACTCTCATGTAGGATTTTATAAGTTAGGTAGTTACATCGTGAGAAATCTAAAATATTGGGATTAGGTCAATTTCTATAGTAGAAAAGATCAATGTACATAATACTGACATAAGGCTCTCTAGGCTCTGTTCATCTTTAAAACACATGATAAGTTCTGTGCCTAGGTATTTATCATACCACAGTGCCCTATCTATACACTAGTTGCACATGTTCAAATTAAATATGTCTTTAGATTAACTATTTGGCAGACATACTGTTATTTAGATTGGTAAAATCCTCATTTATTTGCATATATTCATGCTGGTTGAAGTGTGTATATATGATAGGATCCATATGCTTCTCCCTTCAAACTTGTTTCCCCGACCAGCTTAGACACTGATTTCTTAAAGAATTCAGTAGTTCATACATTGTTAAATTCATCTTGGTAAATCCCTCTGTCAAAATATAAGTAAATCCCTTCATGCATGTTTTGCATTGCTGCTATTTACTTGTTTTCACGTATAGTTTATTCTATTGCTCTTCATGTTTAAGTATATTCGTTCCTAATTTTGTTCGCATATAATCACTATTGCAACATTTAGTACAAATTTAGGATTGTAACTGACTTCCTAATGTCGTTGAGTCATCTAATAACTGTACATTTCTCTTTTACATTATCCATTCCTTCCGCGGTTTCCATACTAGTTTTAGATGTGACTGTGTGAACTGATCGCTACTGTTCTCCGTCATTGATATAAGGGCACATTCCCCGTACATTTTAGGAAAGTTTGCAGTTGAAAATTGAGTGTGATTCCAAGTCAAGCATTAAAGGCACGAAGTTCAGCAAAGGGATCCATTTTCGACAAACTTATTATCAAGCCGTATAGTCTTATATATGAAAATCTTTGGTTAAAGTACCAGTTACATGAGGACATATGAACAAGGAACAACCATGATGACAAAAACTAAAGATTACAATACTAGATTATGAAGTGCGAATAATAACAATAGATTTAATAAGTTGGTAACGAACTATAACTTGAATGAAGTAAGATGATTAAGATGTCTTTGCTACAACATTTAAAAATAATTAATGGTAATAGAGCTGTGAAACAAATGAATTGATATCATGAGCAATTATGGATAAAGTAATGAGAATACGAGACAGAGATAGAGGGGACAGGCCAAGGTAACGACAACGATAGGAAGTAATTATTTCGTACTCATAATTCTGGCTTCAGTTCATGGATGGTGAGAGGTTCCGCTATTTTTAGAAGTTGGATAGCATTTAATAGCGTCAATACAGTTAAGTGCGTGACGTCTGAGTTTTTTTTCAATTGAATGAACTTGGTTTCACCATAGTGCCTTCCAGAAACGCTTAAGATAACCATTACTTTTCATACAGCTTTCAAAATATTGAGTATACGATTCGTCCAAATCTACCTGTAAGATATATCTGAAATGTTTTAGGTGTTCCGTACAATCAGTTTACACTCCTGAAATCGGATATAACAGCGAGATATTATCAGTCACAAAAATATTAGGAACGGCACGACCAATCAAGTGTTGCAATATAACAGAGTCCTTGGCATACG